TGATTCAAAACCCAATCTATATTTTCTGTAAAAATTGAAAAGACCATTACAGGCTCTAGTACTCAGCTCAGATTCTAGGAACTTCCTGATACTGGAAAAAGAATGTGTGGAATTCCATCATGGCATTTTCCACTGTGATAATTTCAAATGTTTCTTAATAATTGAAGGCTCTAATCTATCCTTTTCCAGTACATCATTTCCTTCCCAGGAACTCAGAACATTGAAGACATTTGAATGCTTGTTCTTAAATTTCCCCATCATCACTCTACAATTGTATGTTGACTATCTTCTTTTTTTTCCCTTTTACCTAGTATTAATCCTTTTAGTCCTCTTCATCCTGGCTTTTTGAAGAAAGTGACATCTCATTCATTTTCTCATTTGTTTTTATATTTTTTTTATTCATGAAAGAGAGTGCATGTGTGTACTCTTTCTGGAGAGAGAGAAGAGCACCTACAACAGGACCTTATAATGGCATAATCTCACTTTTCTAATCCTCCATCCTGTTAGGATCCTAGGTCTGTGAACACATGCCCCAACGTGTTTTCAGGCCAACCTGGGTATTTGAACCCATAGACAGTCATGTGGCTTCCAGTACTGTAGTTCAGTTTGCTACTTACTGGACTATCAGGCTTGGTCATTCATTTTTATGGGTGCAATAGTATTAGTGTCATGGATATGGTTTGTATTAAAAGTTCTTGATGAAAGGCTTAGTGATTTTATTCCAGTTTTTATTAGTGTTTTTAGTCTGGGCAGGAGAATAAGAAAGTACCCACTAAAATGCAGCAGGAAAGGTCATTATTCTGATCTTAGTGACTTCCAAATGGCTCTTGAGAATCAAAAGAGAAGTCATTGTGAGAAGAAAGGCTAGAATTCAAGTCATAATATACTATTAAGTCATCGAGAAAGTTATGACGTATTTTCTTGTTTTTCTATGCAAAAATCTACTATGACTTTTGTGACCACCCAATAGATAAGAAAGAGAAAAGAAGAAGAGATCAACCACTCCAACCCCTTGTCAGCTGACAATCACCTGGGTTGGTGAGGTGAGGTGCTAGAATATGAGCCTTTGCCTGGACATACATGGCTCTTACTCTAGAGACTCCAGTGTATCACCTTCTCCTTTAATTCCCTGAACTTTTACTTCCGTTTTTGCCTCTATGTCTTTTTCTCCATATGTTTCACAATTACTGTTTTCTGAAAATATACTACAGTTAGGCCAGTGATCATCTAATGCTGAAGACATGTGCACATTTGGACATCTTAGCATATAAAAGGGCCAGCCCATGTGACTCTATTAGGTTTGGCTTTTGGATCAGTGTGACCAATCATACTGACATTGATATTGACATCTTATGTTGAAGGAACTGTGGCTTACTTCTAAGCTGCCAGGTCTGGGACTTGAACTGTGGTCTCCTACATGGGGGTCCAGAGAAGTAACTATTATGCTATCTCCTAGTCCCATATGGCTTATTTCTGAAAAGGACTGTGTAGCAGTTAGAATTTTATACTTGCTATTCTTGAATGCCTTATGAACCCTTGTGTCAGAAATAGTTAGGTTTGCCATATTTAACAAATAAGAATCTAGGATAGTGGTCCCTATTGTTTTTGGAACAAGGGCCCAGTTTTGTGGAAGATAATTTTTCCATAGAAAGGGGGTGGGGATGGAAGAGATGGTTTGGGGATGATTCAAGTACATTATGTTTATTGCCACTCTTGTAGGTACATGGTTTGTACCTCTGGTACCAGTCTGTGACCTGAATAGTGGGGACCCCTGATCTAGGATCCCCAGTTAAATTTGAATTTCAGATAAATGAAAAATGATATCAAATACAATATGTGAAATATATTAGCGAAGATGGCTCTTGAGCTCCAAGCACAGTGAATACAACTAACAGAAAAGGTGGTAGAAGAGATAAAGGGTCCATCCATTCTTGTCAAGGGCACTTTCCTGAAGAAATAACAAGCTTAGCCTAGGTGTAGAACTTATCCACATGGCCCTATGTAACTAGAAGGGAGGCTGGGAAAGTATAGTCTTTGTGATGGACTGCCATGTGCTCAGTTAAAAACAAAACACTGAGGTCTAGTAGGTGGCATGGTGGTTGGGGCTCCAGATTCTCACATGGCCAATGGCGGTTTGAATCCCAGACCTGGTAGCTTGAAAATCATGCCAAGTGTGTGTGCATGTGTGCCCAAACTACCACGAAAGAATGGAGGAGAAGAGATTATGGTGTGGCCATCTCCCCTGGTTGGGGGTAATTTCTCACTTTTCCTTTCACTGTCTCTCTGTGTCTGTCTCTGGTGGGCACAAGCATCCTACGGCAAAAACATTTTTAAAAAATCAATAACTGTTATGAACGAGGAAGGAGAAAGTAATATGGAGGATTACTAGACATAGGACCAGCAGGTGACACAATGGTTAAGGCACTGGACACTTCCAGGTGGCTGACCATGGTTCGAGTACCAGACCTGGTGACTTGCTTTCTAATTTTCCCTCTCTCTCTCTCTCTCTCTGTGTGTGTGTGTGTGTCTCTCTCTGGTCAAATTAAAAAATAAGTGAATGAATAAATAAAATTAAATAAATAATTCTTTTTTAAGAAGATGTGATGAGGATAAACACTTATTTAGGAGGTAAAATTGAAATGAACTGGATTGAATATAATGATGACCATAATTTGTCACAAAAGCATAAGAGGAATGAAGATGTCTTTAGATTTTTTTAACCACATAAATTTATAGAGTAGAGGACCTTTTAATCAAAGTGGAAACACACAAATGGATGTTTTTCAAATGTTCTGAGTATGTACAATGAAATATCCTAATTAAGGCACTATACAGAATAGACACAGTTGCTAACCAAATCTAGCAGGTGACAATGTAGGTTTCCCCTTTCCATTTCTCTAAGACAATCCGATCGGCTGCAGGCCTTTCTTGTTATTAATGTGATGAAAAAAAAATTTAGTATGGTGCCTGGTCCAAAATGTTCAGTAAATTGAGTAAATGATTAGTATATTTACCTCTATTTTGAAACAGAAGAGCCATCTAGGAGCAATAAATAGCAAATAAAAGTATAAATGTTGGGACTTCTTTTGAAAATAGTGAAAGTGGCTTTCTACAGTGGTTATATTAGTGCACTGGCATAGGGATCACCTTGTAAACTGGCTCTGTTCGCCAGGCATTGAGGAAAACCACTCAGTTTGCTCAGTATGCTTTCTGCCAGAGGTGACAGAGTGGCTGAAAACAGAATCTACAATAGGAGGAAGGAGAGACAGCAGAAGACCCTGGACCAGAAGCGGAAGATGTTCATAAACAACAAGGTTCTGAGCTAAGCCAGTTTTTCACAGCGTTAGGGCCATGGACAGCAGCACAGCCTGATGGTGCTCTAAACATCAGCCATTTTCAAAGCACTTCTGACTCCACCATCTCAATGAACTCCAGGGTGAGGGATGAGGGTGATGGGTGTGGGGGTGTGCAGAAAGTGAGTGCAGACAAGGTGTTCTAAGAAGTCCTGCCCATCTTCTATAGCGAGAAAAACAGAAATAATTCAGATAGAATGGGCAAATGTAAGAGGGTGAGAGAAACAGAGTGGTGAAAGATTAATTACACCATTAATTAATTAGAGTTTGGGATCATTTCAAAAGAAGTGGGATATGAGCTGGGCCTTGAGAGGCAAAATTTTAACATTTGAGGGAGAAAAGACAATTTTTCAGACAATGGAAACATCATAAGCAAAGGTGTGAATGGGCTGAATGGAAGGGACACTAGCTTTAATGTACGTGGAACCGTACTGGTCATAGGAGTTCTGTGGTGAAGCCAGATTGTGGAGGGTTTATCATTGCGTATCGAAGTTTTGTTGGTTTTGTTTTGTTTTGTTTTGAAGAGGCGTTTGCCTTAGGGTGCTTGCTTAGCCAGAGAAAGAGACAGAAACAGTGGGAAGAAAAATGAGAAATCACCCTAGAGTGGGGTGGGCCACGCTCCAATCCCTTGTCCTCCATTCTCCTCCTGTGGATCTTGGGCACGCACACATGCACCTGGTGAGTTTCAAGCCACGTCCAGGACTTGAACCGGATTGGCCATGTGGGAATCCAGCAACATAAACTGGTACACCACCTGTTAGCCTCTGTGTGTAGCAAAGATTTCTCTTAGGCAACTAAGAGTTTTGAACAGGGTGAAAGCAGGGGAAGTGGCAGTAGGGATGAAGGACCAGAAAGGTCTAAGAACAGGGAGAAAGAGTTCAGTTTTTAAACTGCAGGGATAGGCCAGAGAAGTGCAGCATTATAAAGTCTGCCATGGAAACAATGCAGAGAACTTGGAACTGACCTCGTTTACAATCATGTTTAACAAGCAGGTAACCAGCATTGGTTATTTAATCTTAGCCTATCTTTTCTATTAAATACTAGTTCTTACGTTATAACGTTGGTGTGGAAAGTAAATAAACTCATGTAAATTACCTGGAGGGTGGCTATAACTCAGAAAATGGTATTTTTAAAGTTTCTCCCTTATTCTTGTGCCACTTTTATGGCCCTTACCATGACGCTGTGCCATCCCTTGTCTGCCTGTCTGGTTCTGGTCCAGGACTTTGAGCCTCATCCAGATTCCGGACTTTGGAAGGATAGAAGCCCAAGTCTTTGTATTTTCCGCCTCTGGCAGAAGTCTTTGCACCCAGTAGGTCCTCAATACAACCCTGTGAACAAACAGGACAAACGGGATGAACGGAGTGGACTCCAAAGGGTCTGAGGGCCAACATTAACTGCGGGGCTCCCTTCTTCGTGCCTAAGAGGTGGTGGCCAGAGCACAAGAGTCCCAAACCCTCTTCAGGGACACAAGAGTACCTCCTCCCACAGGGCCTGATCTAAGGTATGAGAACCCTAGGGACTCACTTCCAACTCAGAGGAGAAATTCCCCTCCTCCGAACTCCAGGGGTTCATTCCTGGGAAATTCGGACCTCCCCCTCCCAACCCTCTCTGGCCCGTCTTCCTGCCCAGGAGGAGCAAGGGCGCACGAGGGGGCGCCACAGAGGAGTCGCCGCAGGCAGCAGAGTCACTGCCCGCGCCTGTCGTTGGAAGACACGGGCTGCCCACAGCCGCCTCACACGCACCGGCGGGAAACGTGTCAGCGGGCATGGACTTCGTCGGCTCGCTCGAACCGCTCAGCCTCCCCGGCCTGGCCCTGGCCGCGACCCTGCTGCTGCTGGCGCTGTGCCTGAGCTCCAGGCGCACCAGGTAAGCGCCCAGGCCGCCGGGGCCACGCATGCGCTCTGGGCCCTGCGGGCCGCGCGCGACCCAGATGGCAGAGGGAGTCCCCTCCGCGGTTTCCAGGGCAGATCGTCAGAACTTGCTGCGGGGCAGTGGCGTCCTTTGGGAGCCTGTGTAATAACAAAGGCTTCTTCCGACCCTTTCCCATACTACGCATACATATTAAAGCGTTGGGGCCGAATTGATGTGCGGCTCCGGCATAGGTTGTCATAAGCCCTAGGTTTGCCGTATGCATTATGCATCATGCGTGGCATCCACTCAGACACGTTTTCGTGCCTTGTTACCGCGATATGACCTAGAATCCATAGAGCATTTCTGGAGGGGAACTGGCTTACATTTCATTCAGTTAAAAGAGAAAGAGTTCAAGAAAATGCCACGCATCCTGTGAACAATGGCTCTAAATGCCTCAGTTTACCTCACGATACCTTATCCGGAGAGAGGAGGTAAGAGCACCTCCCTCCTGGGGTTTCTGTGAGTACTAAATGAGTTACCAGAGTACATTTTATGAATTGACTCTATTATTTTCTCAGGACCAAACAAAAACACACAACAATAACAAAACCCAGAAAAGTGTCACTTCTTGATGTGATTCGGAATGTGGAAGTAGAAACAGAAATTCAAATAAAATCATTCATTTGAATTTATTCTCTCCTTTTTATGGGTCATTTATTTTTAATATGGCAACAGTCTTCGTGGCTTTTGAAAACTAAGCAGATAAGTTTTGTTTTGTAATCATTGCTGCTTTATATATATATATATATATGAATAATATATACATGTATATGTATGTTATATAGCTTGTTTCTCAGTAGTTTGGGGAGGAAATGACATCACTGTAATGCGTACAAATGTCTGTGGACATTTCTAGAATGCCCACGGATAAAGGCGCTAAAAGGAAGTACTCGAAGTACTCGCTTTTTTTTTTCCATGTGAGATTTCAGAGCTCTTTCTGGACTGTGCGGTGCCCTCTCCGAGGTTGCTTTATTTGTGTTTTTGCTTTAGAGCCCAAGATGAGGATTTAGGACACTGAGACATCAGTGTTACCTGGTTCTGTATAGAAAAGGTCTTGCCTTTTCTGTTTATAGTGTCAGCTAAAGTCAGTTAAGATGCACTCCTAGGTACTCCTTAAAGAGATGTGGTAGACAAGAAGGCTGTTTGTTCTCCCACGAATGTAGAGTAGAAACATACATTTTTGTATATAAACTAGGACACTCTAGATCACTGAGGGTCATGGGGTTGAGAATGTGGAACTTCAGGTGACAGTAGAGAAAGCGAAACGTCAAGGTCTGCTTTCTCTCAACATTCTCCAGATAGGCTGATCTTTGCAACACTAAAACCCATTCCTCTAAGGTATCCGTGCCATTAATTGCCAGTTTTATCCTACCTGGAAGACTATGTCATGCTGTACATCTGTAAAACATTGCATTTTAAAGAAATTTGGTTATATACTGGATTTCAGTGTGTAAAAGATAGATTCATGTTCCCCAGGACAAAGGGAGTCATGTCTTTATTGCAACTATTCTTAGTGTTTGAACAATTTACTCTAATGCTCTAGGAACATGTTCTTACTGATATTATCTCTGAGAATTCATGGTTAAGAGTTGGTTATAGGGGCAGCAGGTGGTGTGGTGGTTAAGGAACTGAACTCCCATATGATTGACCGTGGTTTGAGTCTGGACTTGGCAGCCTGCTCTCTCACTTTCCCTCTCTTTCTCTCTGGTCAAATTTTTAAAAATAATAGTAATAAAGTAAATAAAATAATTCTTTAAAAAAGAGTAGCTTATATATACTCACACTTACACTAATATGTGTGACTATGTGTTATAAAAATAGTTGGAAGATACACTCTGTGTTGCAACTTGCTTTTTCCACTTTACAATACATCTTTCTATATCAGTTTACAGAAATCATTATTTTCAATTATTGTATAAAGATATGCATGCATCCATAGATATCTTTGGGATTTTGTGGAAATATTTAAGTAGGATGGTGGAGTTGTCAAAATGTGTGTGTACTTTACATTTTAATAGATGTTGCCAAACTACTTGAAATCTCAAGTTATGTTACAACCAATGGTTTGAGTGCCAATTTCTTAATATCCTGCCAGTATCAGTATTATAAATCATTTTAATCTTTCAAATAAACCTTCACTTTTATCCCAATTTTCATTTGTTTACTTTTGAGGAAGTTTGGATAACTTTAAGGAAATAGTAAAGTCCTTGTTTCTTCTATAACTTGTTTATTTTCTAGTAGCTTTATTTTTGTATTTGATCATTAGTGGTTCTTGTATATCGGGAGTTTGCACATTCTTTCATACCTGCTGAAAATATTTTCATTATTGCTATTGGTATTTGTTTCAAAGTTTCTATATATATTGAGTTGTCTGGAAAGTTGTGACACATTTTTCATAGAAAAACATAGAAAAATATGTCATAACTTTCTGATGACCTCATACACACACACACACACACATATCCTTACTTAGAAGCCCTTCTATTTTCTGATATAATTAAAATATTTAGCACTTTTTAGTGTCATCAACTTATTTTAAGTAGATTTTATTCATACAGAGATAATATTTTTATTGTTTTCATTTTTATCTTTTGAACAATTCTATCTGAAGTGTCTCTAATGTAGCATACTATAGGAATGCTGGATGTTCCAAAGTAAAAATGTAAACTTTACTTACAAAATTGATAAAATTAAAAACAAAAGATAAAAACCAGCTCAGAGGTCATTCGTTACCTTTGGACTCTTGTTACCAGTTCTCCCTCTTTTGACTTCCTTTTGTGAAATTGTTTAGATATGAGACTATCAACCACAGAAGCCATTGAAGTACTGCTCAAGAGAGATGATAGAGGCATGGCCTCAGGTTGTTACTATGGGATTGGTAGGAAGTAGTTAGAATCAGGATACATTTTTGACTTTTGAGTCAACAGGGTTTACTAATGGATTGAATATGGTAAGAGCGAATCAGCAATAAAGCCTAGAAGGTTTTTTGTTTTTGTTTTTTTGTTTTTCATTTATCTTTTAGTGTTCCTGTTGGATCAACTGGATAGACGCTGATGCCATCGCCTAGGTTAGGGAAGATTTGGGGCTCCCAAGGAGGTCAGCCATTCTGTTTGGAACATGTAAAGTAGACATGTGTTTCTGGTGCTCAGGAGAGAGGTCCAGGGAGAATATATACTTATGAAAGTCAGAAACTTGAAAATGTTCTGTAAAGCATAAGCATAGTTGAGATCACCCAATGAGGGTTTGATGAGAAGAGGAGGAGATTGAACCATTTTCTTACTGAAAATAAATCTGTCAGAGGAAGAAGAACCAGCAGAGGAGATTGAGAGAGGAGCCAAGGACAAAGGAAGACAACCAAGTGAATGTGGGATCCTGAAAGCTGGCTAGGAGCAAATTTCAACAAGTAGAGGGTATTATTAAGGTCAAATCCCATCAGCGTCAACAAGATGCAGGACTGATAACAGCTATGCAGAGGATTAATAGGAATTAAAAATCTTTTTTAAGTGGGTTGAAATGCTGTCCAACATCTAAGATATTATATTTTAACTTAACAGCTAATAGCTTTTAATATTTTATACTAAGAGTAGAGTACAATTTAGTATTGAACCTCAGATACTTTAAGGCCAGCAGGTAGCATGGAGGTTAAGGTGCTGGATTCTACTTGGCTGATTGTGATGTTTAAGTCCTAAACCCAGCGCTTGAAAAGCATGCAAGGCGAGTGTGCGTGTGTGCCCAAAATCCAAGGGGAGAATAGAGGAGAGTGGATTGCAGCAGGGCCATGCCCCCATGGGGCGATTTTCCTGTCTCTTTCCAGTGAGTACACACACTCTAATCCAAAAAAAAAAAAAAAATAGAAAAAAACTAAAAAACTCTACATACTTAAGCCAACATTTCCACTAATTTTATCTAGAATTTATCCTGGTGAAATAATTGTGGAAGTCTTTAAAGATTTGACCATAGTAGTGCTTAGTAGGGCTCATATAATAATGAAAAACTAGAAAAAACCCTGAATTTCAAAAACTACAAGTTTATTTAAAGAAATTCTAACATATCCAAATAAAACAAAGTGATATAGCCATAAAAATACAATGTAGAATATGTGAAGACATGAATAATCATATTCACGTTATAAGTGAAAACGAATGAAACAAAATATGTTCATTTATATGTTGGGAGTCAGTACCCTCCAACCAGTAACTACTAGGAACATACTTGTTATTGTGTAAGTAGGCTTTGCTACATTTTGCAGTGAGAAAGAACATATACCATCATTCTCAGTATTGAGTATTAGAAAAAGCTGTTTATATCATTTTGGGGAGAGGGACCAGCAGATGGCGTAATGGTTACGTTGCTGGATTCTCATGTTGTCGACTGTAGTTCAAGTCCTGGGCCCAGTACCTTAAAACTCATGTTGGGCGCATGTGTATACATGAGCAAAATCCTGACAGGAGAATGGAGGAGAAGGGATTGTGATATGACCATCCCCTCTGGAGGGTGACTTCTCACTTTCTTTCTCTCTGTCTCCCTGGCAAGTCTGGAGGCCCTATAGCACAATTCTCTCTCTCTAAAAAAAAAAAAAAAAAAAAAGATAATTTGGGGAGAATTTAAGGAAGCCAAGTTTTCAAGTTTTTCTTTGATAGTAAGGTACTATCAAAAAGTAGGACTACTCTGTGATTGAATAGCTTAATAAATTTAGTTTCCAAGACAGGAATAGCGTATTGAGGCTAAATCTGGAGTTGGTAAATAAGTAACAGACACGATTGCTAGCTGAAACTGGGCATTATATTACTTTGACAGTGTTCATATTTATTACTCAAACATGATTACAGGTTGATCTTGTTTTCATTTTGATCTATCATGGTCATGGAATATCTTTGATGTTACTATTTTGTGCAGATGTTTATGATCAATAGAAGAACAACATGTCCTACCTGTGAACTCCAGGCCAGCAGCTT